AGCCTCCAGAACTGAGAGAAAAAATCTGTTTTAAGCCACCCAGTTGACCAGGTGTGGTGGTTCATGCCTGTAATCCCAGCACTTTAGGAGGCCGAGGTGAGAGGATTGCCTGAGCCTATGAGTTTGAGACTAGCCTGGGCAACTTGGCGAGACCTCATCTCTACAATAAGTCAAAAAATTGTGGTGGCACATGCCTGTAATTCCAGCTACTTGGAAGGCTGAGCGGGAAGGATCGCCTGAGCCCAGCAGGTCAAGGTAGCGGTGGCTGTGAGCGTGCCACTGCACTCCATCCTGGGTGACAGGTGAGACTTTGACTCAAAAAAAAAAGCTGCCAGGCTCGGTGGCTCAGCCTGTAATCCCGCGCCTTTGGGAGGCTGAGGTGAGTGGATTGCCTGAGCCCACGGGCTCGAGACCCACCTGGGTAGGCAAGACCTCATCTCTACAATAAATCAAAAACTAGCCAGGCGTGGTAGCATGCGCCTGTAGTTCCGGCTACTTGGAAAGCTGAGGCGGAAGGATCGCCGGAGCCCAGCAGGTCACTGCACTCCAGTCTGGGTGACAGAGTGAGACTCCAACTCAAAAAAAAAAAAAAGCTACTTTCTCTAAAGGTCCTCATTGTCATGGAAAAGGGGGAGGTGGTCAGTCAATGGCTGACTCATACTTCCATCTAGAAATGACACTCGCCTGAGTTGAGCCTTGCCACTGAACCATGGACCCACAAAGCAGACTTGGGAGCCCAGTGCATGGTAGTGATGACCAAATGCCTTGATTAGTGTATGCCACATCTCCCCTAAATCCTTGGCAGCATTTGCTTTACCATTTTTTGAACATTACATGAAATAAGAAATCTGTACTGCCTTTTCCAAGATAAACTCTGGAAGAGACCCGCGCATGTCTCCTGAGCCTTGCTGGTACCACTGTCCCCACCAGGTTCAGACGTGCCAATCGGCAGCTCCTGAACCTCATTCCAACTCTGAGAGCTGCCAGCCTCTCTCCCCACACTTACATCTCCAACACTCCCACCCCTCCCTCCCTTATGCCCTTCAGCATCCCTCTGGGGGCACAGCACTGCCATCAGCAGCAGCTGTGCGGACTTGACTCCTATGGAAAGGAGATGCTGGTATACAAGCTTACGAGACAGATTGCTCAGTGGACCTACAGCTGGTACCATGCCTACAATAAGCACATTTTCACAGGATCCCTAGATATGAAAATGTCTTTCAATAGCATTAATTCTTTATGTGAGAGACAAGAGTCTCACTCTTTGCCCAGGCTGGTGCAGTGGCACAAATCAGAGTGCACTGCAGCCTCGAACTCATGGCCTCAAGTGAACCTCCTGCCTCAGCCTCAAGTAGTATATCTTTAATATAAATATTAAAACAGAAAAGCAACTGTTTTACAAATAAGTCCAGCAAAAAGGTCACCCAAAGGCCTTTCAGGTTGAGTGGCAGAATGGTTCTTATTTTTATTTGTTTAGTTTTGAGTTGGAGTCTCACTCTGTCGCCCAGACTGGAGTGCAGTGGCCGCTCCCGGCCACCGCAGCCTCGACCTGCAGGGCTCCGGCGATCCTTCCGCCTCAGCCTTCCAAGTAGCTGGAACTACAGGCGTGCGCTACCACGTCCGGCTAATTTTTGATTTATTGTAGAGATGAGGGCTCACCAAGTTGCCCAGGTGGGTCTCGAACCCGCGGGCTCAGGCAATTCACTCACCTCAGCCTCCCAAGGCGCGGGATGACAGGCTGAGCCACCGAGCCTGGTGGTTCTTATTGTATTAACAAAGTAATTATGAAGAAAAATACCCTTTCAGATTACTTTATGTCACACGTTCACCTGACTATTATTTGAGGGCACAAGGCAGGTTCAACTACAAGAGCAGGTAGCAAGAAACAGTGCCTTTTACTGAGTAGATGGCCTCGAGTTTATCTGGCAAATTTTAAAACACACAATAGTTTATTGGTCCCAGCCGGAAGGATTCCCCTTTTCCTGTCTCTATCATTTCGCAACAGGCTAGGTGTCTTGCAAAGGTGTCACTTATCTCAATGATCCCCACAGAAATTTGACCAACTGAGGAACTGATCAAAGAGACATTGAAAGAAACATTATTCTTTGACATCTGTACATTTCAAAACAGCTCATTACATAAAACAGAAAGCCAGCTTATTTTTTTAAATTCTTTTATTTGGGAAAAGTGCTTCTTACAAAAGGGCAGCTGCAAAATACAGAGACCTCTGCAACAATTACTTGTTTTTCTTAAAGTGAAGAATGAGTGATCCAGGGAATCAAAGCAGTAGATGGAGAAACCAAGAGAGCTCCACGTTACGTTCAGGAGACAGAGCAACAGACGTGAGGGAGAAATTCCCGTCAAGGCATCCTTCCACTTAACTCCAGCTGTCTGGCAGATGATCACCTACCCTTCAGTGGGAAAATGTGACTCAACCCATGACTCCACTACAATAAACACCTTAGAATGTAGCTCCAAATCACTTCGGTCTACCTGAAAGCTCATGGGTGGAAAGAGGCAAATACCCACAAACAAACAAAACCTGACAACAAATGCCTCGAGTGAAGACAAAGGTTTTGCCAAAAGTGCCTGAACTGGAAAAGACTAGATCATAAAACATTAAATACAACTGTGTATCCGAGACCCAGTTTGTGTTAATATATGGGAGAACCAGATAGTTTTAACCTCTACGGAGAAGGCCATTTCTCTATTGATGTAGGCAGACAGAGCTAGCACTGCTATATTAACAACTACCGAGATACTGCTTTGTCCTTTAAGATCTATTAGCCACACAAGGCTTAAACCACTAAACCATGTTTCTCTACTGAGGCTAAGAATACTCATCTAGGCAGGGATGAGAAGCTTCTCACGCACACTCACTCACACACCAAGTCAGCCCTGGGAGACGCCTTCCGACTCTGCACTGATCTGATGACCCTATGCCTCTTACGTCTTCTTGCAATTTTCTGATCATGCAAAACACAGTAGAAAGCTCAACACATTCGCACCTGGTTCTGGTTACCCAGTAGTATTACTTGTGTGCAATTAAACAAGAGACCAAAACCACAGAACAAGTGCACATGGTGGGGATTACAGGGGAGGGAACAGGTAAAATACAGATGTGCAGATTTCACCAGAAACCACTAGGATCCACCTCCTGTGTCGGAGCAGAAGTCACCCGCCAGCTTAGGTCCCTACACCCATCACTCCTCTTCTTGGACCCCTGAGCACAGCCAGTGCTTTCCTTTTGAACCCGGGGTCCTCAAAATGAGTGTGAAAGTCCATAAACACAATCTGGGTGAAACAGAAGACGCAACAAACCTACGCTAACTGTCTGACAGTTAAATTCATGTTACAAAAAAACTAACTTGAAGATTTATTTTTGTAACTTTTTTCAACAGAGAAAACAACACACTCCTTGGGGAAAGGTGAGGGGTGGAGAAGACAGGCCCTGGGTAAAATTATGAGGACAGCACCTGGAGTTGATAGGCCTGCCTAGGAGAGATCACAGGCACTGCCACACCACCACAGGGGACAGCTACTGTCTGAGGCTCAGCAGACCACTCCACACGCCACACAAGGATGCTATAGGTCCAAGTCATAAAAATCTTCCAGCTCATCATGAAACAAGTCCCACTCGTCTTCAGAGTCTGTCAGTTCGTCGTCCCCACCTGCAGCCAAAAGCATAAGCAACATCTCGCCCAGCTCAAAGGTGACAACCTCTTCATCGGTGTCAAAGGGGATGCTGTTCTCTCTTTCCTCAATGAGCTCCCAGAAGTGGTTCCTTCGTTGGGCCTGTAAAAAACAAGGCCGTGATAGGGATGGCACTGTCGAGCAGTATCTTCTATGCTGCTGTTTCTAAGGCAAACCGTCCAGCACACCAGAGGGCATGACGAACCAGACTTCTCACCTAGGGCTTCCATCTCACCAATTAATGCCTCCCCTCAGGCTGTTTGATGTAAAAGTTTAGGCTACAGCTTTAAGCACTACTTTCTCCTTTCCTACCCCTCCCAGTTTTCTCAGTTTTGCTTCTTCCTTTAACACTCCCAGACCTGAGTGTTCACCTTCTCCTTCCCCTACCCCAATATGTGCAGGACAACTGATAGCGTGGCATTTCCCCTCCTTTAAAAAAACAGCGAGAGTTACCCGGTATCTGCTTGATGTTCCCACTTTCTGTGTCTGTGGCTCCTCTCTACGGCCATCGGGGTACGCATGCTTGTAAAAACAGTTCCCTCCAAATGGGCAGCTCCCACGTCCTTCATCAAAATACCTGCACGCCTTGTTGCTGGAAAGGAAAATATCGCAGCCCTTATTCACAGTGGATTTCAGGTCTCTACTTGACTATCATCCAGGGTTTCTTTAAACAGATGGGGATGGAACCAGTATGTCTGTTGACACCCCCCAGGTGTGTTCTTATGAACCTGTGTGTGCCAATGCAGAAAACACTAACACCAACAGACACCTTGTTCCAGTCCATGCTGGTTAATAGCTCTAGTACAGCAGGTCCCAAAGACAATATAGGACAGCTCTAAATGGCCTCAGAATAAGGTAGGCCCCCATGTGTGGGGTTCTGGCTATCAGCAGTAGAGACTTCATTATAACACAGTCCCTTGGCATGCACCCCAAGGACTGTGTTATAGCAAGACACATACTGGCTATTATGGAGTGACAAATTAACTGTCCTGGGAAGTAAAAGAAGGGCAGGAAGGAGGTAGGAGTGTATAATGCAGCACTGTTCTTTTCAAAGTGAACCCAAGCTCCCTCGGGCTCTTGGCTTGAGAAAAGGCTGCAGTGCTCATACCTCATTGCCTCCTTGTATTTCTGAATGAGTTTCTGCTTCTCTTCTTTCTCCTCCACCCAGTACTCACTTGGAATGACAAAGTTAGATGTGATCCGGCATTCTGGGCAGGACCTGGGAAACAATGAACAGGCTGCAGTGCACATTCCCTTTAGAAGCCCACGCTTCAAGGACACACCCTGGTGTGTCGCCTCCAGCTTGAAAGAACTTAACTGAAAGGCACGTGGGGATTTCCTGAAAGGGTTCCACAGTCACACAACTGACCATTTCTTTGAGGCAAGACAAGCTCCTTTATAAATCCAACCCAATGGCTAGCCAGTTCATTTTTTAAAAAGAACTTAGGTCAAAAACAAAAACAAAAGAAGACATTTCACACAGACTCCTTTTTCTTTCGTTTAAATAAATTTATTTCTTGTAACTTTGCTCTGTTTAGATTATGTAGTTTTTGTTCAGTTATGAGAACAGTCTTTAAACGATGGTATATTATTGGCTAGCTTAATGGATGGAATAGGAAAGTGAAAATGTCAATGTCAAGAAACATACATTCAGAGCTAGAAGTTTGTTCACTGAGCCTAAATTGGCTAATGATCCATTAAACACAATCTCCTCAGAAAAAGCACGAAGATTCTACTAACTGATACATAGGGTTTCCTCATTCAAGTAAAAGTCGATAGACCAACTAACCTAGAAGCTAGCTGAAATACAAAGAAATCCCAATTAGAACACCCCAGTTTCGAGATAAAATGCATGCATTTAAATGCGGTCCATTTGGTTGAAAGTTGGCACAAGTTACTAAATTCTTCCCCAAAATAGAAAGCACAAACGAAGAGTGGGGAGGAGTCTCACTTTATGATCTTGCTCTCAAATTGCTTAGCACTCCTCCACTTGCGAATACACTTGAGACAGTAGGTGTGGTTGCAGTTGGAGAGGATCCCAAAACGGCGCTCGCTGGGGTTGGCTTTCTCATACACCACCTCCATGCAGATCCCACACACCATGTCCTTGCTGCGCTGCACAGCAAATGAGAGCTCCATGTCCTTCTCATGGGCCTCAATGCACGACTAGAGAGACGGGAGAGAGAAGACCGTCATGTCACCAGGTCCTAACAAACACAACTCCACGATTTATGACTCATGTTCAGAGAATCAAATAGTCAATTGAAAACATGTTCCCAAAGTGACATTCAACTCAGCTGTGTTTACAAACTATGAGGACTCAACTTCAGGAATTGAAAAATCACTCAACTTTCTGTGCCCTAAAGCTGCCGTCCACACTAAAGATGGTTTTTCATACTGT